ATGAGCCTCATGTCCCAGGACCCTCAACTGTTGTGAACCCACGTGCCGTTTGCCCAGGAAAGCGACCGAGCTTTCTTTCTCTCCGACGATTCTCCAGCCCTGGTCTCGTTGACTCGGGCAGGGTGAACGAGCCAACGCCGGAGCAACTGTCAGCCAGCAAGCGGATGCGATCTATCATCTTTGCTGGCCGTGCGAGAGATCCGGGGTGCCAGATGCCACCATCGCCAGAGCAGGAAATTGCGCTCTAGCGAGCTGTGCCCGAGTCGGCCTAGCCAAACCTCCAAGGCAGACCCTTTAGACGCGCACGCGATTTGAACCTCCCGGGCTCGCATACTCCAATCGTGGGCATCGTCTGTGTAGCTGTCCCAGATTGCGACATGCCAATGGTTGGCGTTACAGAGTCGACGTCCTCAACGGTCTTCTGTTCCACTAGAAGGATTTTTCCAATAGCCCGCACAAGGCTGACAGCGCAATTACTGATTGATGATCATTTGCAGTTTCTGATGACAATGCTTAACGCGCTAGGTCTTCCGAAGGGCCGCGAACAGCCTAGGTCACGCCATGCCCGCCTTAATCCTCGCTCTCTTAAATGAGACTGGGGCATCGCGTCCCCGCGCCAAGCACCAACTGATCAGTCTTGATTTGACATGCTTTGTGACGTAGAGAATATTTTTGAGCCTGTGGTCATCGTACGGCCAACAACGCTGGTCGCCGAGATGCTGTAGTTTCGGCCCCGTGTAGATAATGGAAAACTTCAGCTTCGCTAAGGGTCCGCTGGGTGGAAGGAGGCTCATCTGGCACCTGAGGCCTTCGATCAAGGTCTGCTTCAAGGTGAACTTTTTAAAGCTGCCATATATGTACTGTGGATTCAAGAAAGCATGTTCACGGTAGTTGTGACAAAATCTAGGAAACGTTGCGAAGAGACTGTTGAGCATCGGGCTGCCGTCCCTGCCCGCGGTATTGGCGTAGAAGACCAAGTGAAATGCTGCTGGCAACAAACGCCGCTAGGCCACACATTCATTTCCTGCCGCTGTAACAACCTTGGCATGCGTCATTGTGGCTTCGCTATATCCCATTCACGATGGGCGTCCATCCATACATACATGTTCAGTACCGGCCCTCCATGGCCTTGGTGGCTTGTGTCATTCTGTCAGATTCGAGTTGTAAGCAAAGAGGCTGCGGTGACCAAGTCACCTTAGTACTGTTTCCCTCGAGACAAACCTGGAGAGACGGTGCAAAACAAACTTGCACCCATTTGCGTAGAGAAGCCGACCATATTGAGACATACATGGAGAATTGTTGGGACAGTATCTTTGGCAGAAGGCAGGCACGCTACCGGAGTAGAGCCTTGTTGAACGCAAGCTTTCTGTATGTTGAGTTGCTAATCTCGTATTGAACATGTGTGATTCTTTTCTTGAGGCTTCATTTCTATTCATCGACTATTCTTTTGGGGACAGAGTGTGTAATGGCAACTAGGCTTGAGGTGCGGAGGTCGCGACGTCTGCTTCTTCCGCTGACATTATCACCTATGAGTAGATGAAAGCGTCTTCTTATTAGAGTATTCTTTTCTCGTTTATCATGCGTCACGCGTAGACTCATTCTGGGCCATTCGAGGAATGCATCTGACTGAGAATGGTAAAAGGAGTAAAACAAAAGTAATTGATAATAGCGACGACGACAGCGACATTGATACTGGCTCTATAGAGTACATAGCACCACAAAGTAGGCAGTTTCTATATGTAACACAAGGCTGGAAATGGGTTTGGGAACGAGGACAGAGACAGTATTGGAGGCGGCAACAGCAATCACAGAAACCGCAGTTGTAACAGTATTCGTGAAAGAGATTGCATATTTCCTAAAGCTTTCCAAACGTCATGTATGTGATATTTTCAAAGTATTCAAATAAAGAACAAAGCCAAGAACGCCTGCCCAATGCTGACGGTCCAGTCTAAATCAGATGCGTTTCCGCCCAATGCCATCATGAAGTATGCCATGCATGCCCCTCGCTATGCCCTTATAATCCCGATCCCGTTTGTAGATACTTATATACATCCCACACCGCCCCCTTAGATCTCACGCTTCTTGATGTTGCACTTCTTCAAGCACGCATCGACACCAAGGGCGATGCTGGCGGGAATAGCAGCGCGGACCATCTCTATGTCCTCGCCGTCTATGCTCTGGCCAAAGGTAGCAGCGATGAGATCGTCACTAAAGGCAAAGGTCTCGTCGGCGATCTGGCCGGTGCCAAAGTCTTCCGAGGTGAAGCTGGCGACGAAGATGGCGTCGGTACAGTCCGGGTTGAACTGGCTGTGGACGGAGCCCTGGTAGAAGGGGGTCATCATGTAGGGACTGAGCTCGGTGCGGATGATGCGGCGGGTCTTGCCATCGGCGGCGAGGACGCCGTTCTCGGGCGCCATCTCGGTGATGAGGCGGCCCTCGGTGACGATCTGGAGCTCGACGGATCGGGGGTGGACGTGGAGGGTGTTCATGCCGCAGGGCTTAACCCGTCCGACGGCCTTTCGGGGTCGTCAGCTTTGTTGTTTGGTAATTTGGGGGTTATCAGGGGAACTTACCATGCCGGCTCCGGTGCTGACGAGGGCGGGGAATGTCTTGCGGTTGGCAGCGATGAGCTCACCACCCTTTCCAGGGTTGGCTTGCTTCTGGTTGAAGTCGAAGACGAACTGCTTGTCATCGGGGAGGAGCTTGAAGCGGTCGGCGGCACTGGTATCATTAGTCTGATGCTCGGGCTTGATGTTGCTGTATTATAGGACTCACGTATCAGCGAGGAACAGCTGTTGAGTCAAGCTCAAAGCCGGAGTGGTATCGCGAGTGCTGATGGGTCCGGCGAGAGTAGAAGAGGCGAAAGCCAGGATGGCGGCGGCGGCGGTCTGGGTGAAGAGCATCTTGATTATTGTGTGTGTGTGTTGGATGACTTGCGTATTAGGTTGGTGTAAAGCTGAGATGACAGACTCTAGGAAACAAGGAAATAGAGCAAGTAGGAAACTGTGAAGATGTGGATGCGAGATGAGATGCGGACGAAGGTATCATGAACACGGGATATGACGCTTTGTTATATACTATGTTACTCGCCTGCTTGAATGTGTATTCAGGAACAGGCTGCCATGTATTCTTGGTGGATGTACTCTATTTTGGACCCAGATCATCCATCGTCGACAAGATCCCGGCCTCCCAAGCATGGCTGGGAGACGGAGTTAGCAACGGCAACGAACGCACCCGACCGCCATCTCACAGCACAGCGGGCAGTGAGAAAGACGTGGGAATATGCCAACATGGCACGCGTTCTTTGGCACGCGGCGTAGCTATCCAGTTCCTCCCGGGAGTGGTGAACTCCGACGAGATGGAAGCCTTGCTGGAGCCGGTCTACCCGTCAGCGCTAGGCTGGTGCCATTGGTCTTGCTCTTTACAAAAGTCGAAATCCTGCAGAAAACCATAGGGCCGACCGGGCTGTCTCTGCGCGGATTGGTCAGGCGTGGGATGAAGTCCCGAGTCTACGGGCCTTGACCACTTTGCGGATGGAGGCTTGGGGGAGGAGGAGGAGTAAACTTTCTTAGAACAGAAGGTGGGCTGGGGTGCGCCCGTTTTCTGATTGGCTCTTTGGTCGCCCGGAGAGCGTCAATCCGGGCATCCAGAGGCTGTGTTGGGCCTCTGCAGGGCAATGCAAGCCCACGGCACACCGTACTACACCACCTTCAGCGCGCTTGTTTTTCCCATTGCCGCCTAAAAATAAAACAAGCGACGGGAGAGCAGCCGTTTGTTCGTCCCAACTGCCATCCTCTTTGACAAACGAAACAAAAAAGCTTGGCATTGTCCGGTCGAGAATAATTCCATCCGCATGGGAGGATCGCCAGACCCTGGCCCGCGACCCGGCCAACATCCATTCATGATCGTCAACGCCTCGCGGATCAGTGACATTCCGGGGTCCCACGTCCACGGCCACGTGGTGGCACATGGAAATTGTTTCTTCTATATTCTTCGTCGCCAATATCTAGGATCATGGCACAGCAGGCGTGTTCGGCGCCTAACGGACTCGGCGGCCTCTGGTAGGGATCGCAGCTTGGCATGTTGACGTAGACAATTTGTCACATTCGATGCATTTCGAAAACGCGGTCTGATGTCTCTGCTTAAACCACCGGATCTTCCGAGCACGTCAACCGTAAGCCCTGTGGCAACTTTACCACGCCTAGTTGAGATTTCTAGGGCTGTAGTTGAGGTCCGTCGGCAAAGAGGTCATTTACCAGGGAGTATCTTGACTCCTTGCGAAACTGGCTACTCGTATGTCCGGGGATGACGTGAGGCAAAGTCTCTGTAGGACGATTTATCAACGACATTCCAGTTGCAGCATGTCCATTTCTTCTTCATTGATACTGACAAACCAGATCGCAGACTAGTCGATAAGGAACACGGCTACTGTCTAGTCCGACGGCGCTAGAATCTGACAATTCGGTGCTGGGTCGTGTTCACCATCACACCGTCACACATCCCGCCTCTCACCGGGCTGCATAAGTTCTTCCGCATGGACATGAGTACAAGGCAGGATCACCTACTAAAGTCCCGCCTTTCAAACATGCAAGCTGATGGATTATTCTGCAGCTAGCGGGCTTTTATCCCACGCAACGGGGCCTACTCAAGGCAAAGCCCGGTAGCCCGGGACATAACATTGACGAGAAATTACACGATCGATCCTTCTTGTGTTCTAAGCCGGTATGAGCAACTCTCGGTGCTTCAGACTGACTCTGATTCCATCTTCAGTCACGCCTCATTACCTGTGATCTTGACTTCGATAGGTCACAAGAACCAAACGCAAGCAGTCTATTACATGTAGCATCTACCCCTACAGCTGCCTAGCTCCGCCCGCGTTTTGTTTAGTGGTCTAGCCGTGAAGATGAGATGCGAAATTCTGGCAAGAGCAGCTAGCCGATCTAACTTGGGAAAAAATGACGACGTGAGACAACCAATGACCCAGACTGGCCCCTCACTTATCACACATAGAGGCGGCCATCCTTTGGAGGGCTGGGGCAGTCGAGGACAGTGCCAAAACTGAGATGGCCTACCTCCTCCGGTTCCTGACCGTCTGCCGGGTGTTTGAACAAGCCTTTGGGCATCTTGACCTCGCCCCATTTGAGAGGGAAGTATATCATCTTTTTTTGATTGTCTGACCCGTTCATGGCTTGAACATACTCGCCTGTAAGCTCTGCAAGCTCGGTCTCGTGCGTATTGTTCTCTTCATGGGAATCCGTGGGCACTTGGGCCAGCGGAGAGACGCGACAGGCAGCCGCAATCGCCATTGAGTTGGAGCCAACGACTGGCATCTGCCCTGGCAGCTTCTGCCTCGATAGAATCGTTGGGCAGATCATCATCAAGATACCAATGAGGAATAATGCAAGTGTGTGCGCTCTCGAGCTACCGAGATTTATTGCAGCATCTCTCGGAAGACTGTCAGGATCGACTATATAGTCGGAGGGGCCAAGAACATAGTAGGCTGCCATTAACGTGTTAGTCCAGATTTGTATAATCAACCTGAGGGAGAGGATGTGCTCACTGCCCTGTGAAACCACCATGAAGAGCGCATTCGAAAGCAACCAATGCATCAAGACGCTGGAGACCATCAGAGGAACGCTAAGCTTATATGGCAATTGAAGGCGGTATGTCGATGTTTGTTGGCCCCTTTGGAAAGTCAGAATCTTAACTATAGGTTCAACTCAGAGACTTACTTGGGTTTCGTGACCCGCAACGGGCGATGCTTGGTTGAGAATTCACTCCACTCCCACCCCATCTCCATTTGGGTGATCAATGAGTTAATCACATAATAGTTAGATGAAAGATACAGTTGCGGGATGTTGGCCACCATGGTAGTGAGGAAATGAATATTCGCACCCCCGATAGGAGCCATGACTATGGCATTCTCCGCATTATTCCACTTGCTGAATATAGTCAGCAATTCTTTTCGTTGTTGAAACACTCTCATGGGAGTGCGAACTTTGAAGCGCCGATACTCACGATATGTTTATCTTGAATTGACCCACGACGATGAACAGCAACACGAGAATACTCGGAATGAATTGACAGTAGACTTTGACCCAGGCGCTTGTGGGAACAGTTGGAGAACGATGGTGTTGTCTTTTAATCCATTTTCGAGGCCCCAGTGGTTGACAGATGGTTCCATCTCTTGCTCTTTCCTGAAGGATAGAGTGCGTCATTAGACCTGACACAAAGTCCGGGCGTGGTTGAATGGAGATAAATGATGCCACAGCATCACCCAGAGTAACGAGAGGTTCTTCGTCATCAAGAACTAACATTACAACCATACAGGTGAGAATCTTCATGAAGATTGAGATGAGGACAATGAGAAGAAGCGGCTTGGCGAGAGCGACGCTGCAGGTTGTGTTTCTTGGCTCCGCCCGGCAGTGATCTAGCTCAAAGCCATGGTAATCTGGAACCGGTTGCGAACGGTACCAATCTTGAAGAGAGATAGAGATTCGGCTTTCATCCTCCTCCCAATTTTTCCATTTGAAGAACTTTTCGCAGTTCGTGAGGCAGCTGGCAAAACCGTCACGTGTAAGGGTACCACTCATAGCGCATTGTGCACTGTACCATAGGGTATTGAACTCGTCTCGAGGCAAGATCGGTTGCCATATCCGGTCATTATTCGCCGAGAGGTTCCAAGTTTCAGATCTTTTCCATCCAGAGCCCTTCAAGACTATGACGAGATTGCGAAAGTTGGTCAAGCCGGTACACGTTGATACATTGAAGAGCCCTCCACAGTCTGCTGGCTCGAGTTTCTCCCATTCTGAACCTATAGCAGCTGCTTGCGACACATTGAGTGCATATTTTGAAACATTGTTGGTGACGAGATCTTGAAAGGTTGGCAGGAGGGCCGTGTCGCCAAGATTACCATTGGTTGTGGTGTTGCTTATGATCATGCTTGCTCCTGGGAGAAAGTAGGAGCCGCCCTCGATGAATGCGTTGGAGGCGACTGTTACATGAAAATCCCCCATCCGTTTGTCGATCTTGAACACAGAACTATTGAACATCATATGAATAGGGACTGACGTCAAAAGTAAGCAAAGACACGCAAAACGTTTGAAGCGGGAAAGATAGAAAGCGTTCCGCCAAGAAGTTACGCCTATATCAAGCCATCTACCCTGAGCGTGAGCAGTATCGACTTCCGATCTGGTTGGTGCGTTCAGAACTTGCATGAAGAAGTTTGAGGATGCGAGCACCAGAGTCGAAAAAATGTTGATAAGCAGGTGCAGCATCGTGTTGGTAACGGTCGTCCTTCCGCAGTCCGCTGAGAAAAACCGCCAGGATTGCATAAAGTTCTTGGTTCTTGCCAAAGCGACCCAATAAATGCCCAGGAGGAACAGCATCGTAACTGTCAGTGTGCCGATATTGAAAATCGCCATTCTTCGCCACCCAGAGGGGAGCCATGTCGTATTTGTCGAAGCTTGGTTCCGTATGGTGACCGATTTAATGGAAGCTTTCCAAGAAAATCTCTCTGGAAAACGAGCTCGAAGAGGAACAAATCCTTGTTTGAAAGCGAAAAGACTTCCAGGTATTTTGGCGGCGCGATCGAAAAGCTTCATCTTTGTATGACCTCAGGCTACTGGTCACGAACACAGTCACACGGGAAAGCACGGAAGCTAAGACAGCTCCTTTTATACACGTTTCCTAGTCACAGCCTGATCTGATGCTGTGTCACAGATGAGATGCCCAGCCAAGCCTACTAAGATCAGCCTTGTCTTGCAACAGGCTGAAGAGAGCCAGCCTGATTTTACTTCCACCCAAATAGGAAACTGTAAGGTGAGGCACACGGAAAGTCGACTGCATATCAGCACCGTTGGCCAATCATGCATTTCTCCAATATAGTCTATACGAGGTGTGCCATCTACAAGAATGCGGCATTGCTGCTGGAAAACACTGTGCATATAGTAGATGCCCAGTCACCCCTATCTTTCAGAAGGTCTGGCTGTGTGACTAGGCCAATCTCATATTACTAACTTAGTGTGTAGTAATAAACAGCGAGAAAGCATTTTAAGCTGACTAGGCATGTCTCCAGGCTGAAGAGACGGCTGTGACGAAAAATCATCAGCACACGAGTATAAGAAAAGAGAAAGACCTTATAAAAGCTCACAACATCTAAATTCATGATTGAATTAGACTAAGAACTACTTGCGTATGATGGTTCTCTGTTGAGTAACGTTTGAGTTGCATTAGAGACGTTGTCGAAGAGAGTCATACCGAGCCCCCACCAAACGTTGGTATATGCAAAATTGGCTCAATTTTCCAACACAGTGCAAGCACGGTAGCTCAGGGGTAGAGCGCTGGGCTCATAACCCAGAGGTCCCTGGATCGAAACCAGGTCGTGCTAAGACTTGTTTTGTTTTTTTGCCCACATTGTTGTTCTTGCTCCTGGATACTCTTTTTCGTTATGTAGAACCGTATTTGTTTCGTTGTTGTAGAACCATATTTGTCTGTTGCAGACTCGAAGTGAAGTGCCACGCCCCTAACAGCCTGGGTTAGTCAGGTTTCCACTATTCGCGATGTACCGTGATGGCCGCAAACATCACATGCGACATGTCCAGTTAATTATTGAGTTGAAAGTGGATAGATGTTTATGTTCATAGGTGCCGCGTATCGGTACCTCGCTTTCGAATTATATCGTACATCACGTCTCTTATCTTTACAATGCCTTCTCCCTGGAGCCCACGACGCGGTCAAAGCTATCGAACGCCATAGTCATCGAGTGCCGTCCACCAGTCTTGCCTCTCAAATGCTCATCAAAGTTGAGGACCTCCTTGAACGGCACTTTAGCCACGATCTCCACCGTCCTGGCCATGGACTTCTTGCCCCTCAGGGATGCGACACTGTCGTAAGGGTCGGGGGGAGCGTAGATTCTGCTGACATCAATCGTTGAGCTCGACTCGGCAGACTTGTCGTTAATCTCCAAAACATGACCACCGGCGCCGGAGCTGATATCGTGCTGCACCATGCCCGCCGCGGCCTCGGGACAGCTGATGTGCACCAGCATGACGGGCTCCATAACACCAACCACCTGGCGCGTGGTATGGGCTTCGCGGAGGGCCTCGCGGACAGCACGGCTTGCGGCGCCTGTGAAGTGTCCCCCTGATGGGTTCTCAACCTCGGTGGCATCAACGTTAATTGTGATGTGGCAGCCCTGCACAGGTGAACCGCGGCGCGGACCACGCGCGAGTGCGGCGACTACGCCGTTGATGAGCTGTTGGCGGGCTTCTTCAGGGTCAAAGCTGGGGAAATAGCCCTCTTCGGGTAGGTCGATGATGACATGGATCATGTTGCCATCGCGCTCGACAGTTGGTTCAAGGGCGGCCTGCCGGTGGTGTTCTTCAAGAGGCTCAAGAGTCGCGCTGCATGACACCCTGCCGGACTTGCTCGCGACCACTCTGTCATAGGTGACGTGGTGAGGTCCGATAGGGGCAGTGATACACTCCTTGTAGTCGACCTCAATGGGGCCGAAATCGGCTTGGACCTTAGGGTTTTGCTTGAGGTTGTGGACCGCAATGTCGAGGTGAAGCTTGCCCATGCCCTGGAGGATAAACTGCTCGGTCTTCTCGTCGCGCGTCCATCTGAGACTGGGGTCCTCTCGAGATGCGTTGTCCAAGGCAATCTCAAGCTCTTTGGCGGCAGTCATGCCCTGCGGATCGATGGCAAGGAAGGCGACGGCTGGTGGGATCTCGGGCGGTCTTATGTGAACATGTTTCAGACTATCTGGAACTTGTTTGTTGCCGACAGATGCGAGAAGAGTGTCGCCCGTGCGGGCCTTCTTCAAGCCCTTGATGGCACCAATTTGGCCCGTCGCCAGATGTTGCACGTCTTCGGTCTTCTCTGCAGATATTTGCACCAGACCAAACGGCTTCTCAGATTGCTGGATGTGGGTGTTCCAAGTAGACGAGTTCCGGTGAAGATCGCCGTGGTAAACACGGACAAAGCTCAGAGTCCCTTCCTTGGGGTGGTGGAAGACCTTGAAGACAGACGCCACAGCAGCAACCTGGCCGTGGCTGGCCTTCTTATTGTGCTTATTAGTGTTATTCAGAAGCTTCTGGAGCTCTTGTTTGTTGGCTCCCACGCGAACCTCAAGCTCTGGACGCTCATCTGGGCTGGGCAGGTAGTCAACGATGGCGTCCATCAGAGGCTCCACCCCGATGTGTCGGAAACTGGCACCTGCCAGGACGGGGATGGCGTTTCCGTCGCCGCTGCGAATGACGTTTCGAACAGCGTCTTTGAGCATTTCACTGGTGATTTTGGTGGGATCGTCAACGAAGAGATCCATGATGGCTTCGTCCCACTCGGCGAGTCCTTCGATCAGTCTTTCGCGAGCTGTCTCGATCTCCGCAAGAAGAGGGTTGCCCGAAAGCACCTCCTGAAGCTCAGCAAATTCGTACTTTGTCTTTTGCTTTTCGGCCTTCCACCTGTATCCGACGCGGTTGATGATGTCGACAACGCCGACAAATTGGTCGCCCTCCCACCATGGTATCTGACATACCAGTGGCCATCCACCGAGACGAGAACCAATTTCAAGCACCGACTTGCGGAATGATGCGCCGTCTCGGTCCAGCTTGTTAACGAAGACGATACGCGGGATCTTGTGCTCATGCGCAGAAGCCCATACTCTCTCCGTATGGGCTTCCACGCCCTTGACGGAGTCAATGATGCACACTGCACCATCAAGAACAGGGAGACACCTGTCGACTTCGAATCTGAAATCCTGATGACCGGGGGTATCGATAAGGTTAATGGTCTTGGGAGGCTTTCCAGGCTGGCAGTCTTCCGGTAGAGGCCAGTTGAAAGTGATGGCTGCTGACTGAATCGTGATGCCCCTCTCTCTTTCCAACTCAAGGAAGTCCGTCACGGTGTTTCCGGCATCGACATCTGGGTCCTCTCATCAGCTCATGATCCTGCAGACTCTCACTGCCCATCCGCAACTCTCATCCACCAGAACGACCCCTCACACAAATCTTACCTCCAACTCGACGAGTCACGCCGCTATAATACAACATGCGCTCAGTGGTGGTCGTTTTCCCCTTCAAGTTATCAGCATTTTCATCCTGCAAGCTGTGAATGACGAACCCACAGCGTCAACATGAGCAATGATGCCAATGTTCCTAATGTCTTTAATCGCAGAGTGATGCTTCGTCTGCACGGGAGGCATGTGTATCGACCTGCGGAAGCTCAAGACACCAACATACAGAGCTCGCCCCGGCAGCCGGCCGAGGTGGCTCTGCCTAGGCACTGAAGCTCGGAGGGCTAACATGACGGGAACATCAAACAAAATTTGTTGTACAAATATTGGGAAAAAGAAAGTTCCAGTTGATTGCGCTCACATCGTAGTAAGCGAAAGAGCCAACGAGACGAGCAATCCGCTGTCGAAAAGTCCTCAATATCAGACCATCAATCAAGTGAGAGCTGTTGAAGTGAAGCTCTCACCTTGCTTTGGCTGAGGTAATGAGCTTGCCTCTACACCAATTGACGTCGCGATTGTCGCCGAACCCCTGCTGGGCCCCAACTCAGGCAGGCGGTCGCAGAGCTTTCAAGCGTAAGTGTCAAAAAACCTTCTGTGAGAGGCTGGTGGGTTAGCTTGGGTGTGGCTGGTGACATGCGCCTCCTGTTGGCACTGCTACGTGTTCGGGTTGTTTGGTGCAGCAGCACAGCAGCAGCTAACAAAGTACCGGGTACCTACCCCCGTCGCGGTATCCACAGCTGCACTCCTTGTATCTAATCTGCCAGGTTTGCCAGCTTCAGGAGCAGAGCACAACACACTGGACACAAGTGCTGCACCTTGACTCGTCAGCCTCTTCTCCGGACGTCACACCTTTCGCACCCACCTTGCACATTTCCCACTCACACATCCCCAATCCCCAAAGACCCGCGATATCCAGTTGCCTGGCGTCTCCGTCTCCATCCACGTCAGCTTCTTCTCCCCCTTCTTCTTCCTTTACATATCCCCTTCCGCCCATTAACCTTCCCGAAACCACCACAACCAAGCTAAATCGCCAACATGGAGCTCTCCGACGCCTTGTACGTGCCCCCAGGACATCCCATCGCATTGCCCATGGACTAACATACCGCCCCCAACAGCCGCATCGTCAACCTTGTCACCGCGACCGTTATGGTCCTGGGTGGTATCGCCCAATTCTTCGACTTCTCCTTGTATGTGTCCTCGCCCTCTGTCGGCCCCGTCGGACATCTCATGTGCTTGCGCATCGTTGCCGCGAAGCTATCCCGCAGCGCGCGCACACGGCTCCGCGCATCAAAACATTCTGTGGACGGGACGCAGTCCATGTTTGTACGACCCGACTAACAACCGCTTGTAGCCAGGGCATCATTGTTGGCGCCTACGTCATTATCTTCGGTCTCTGTAAGTTTGCGC